CGGCCAGGATTGCTTCACTGACGTCCCCAGGCTCGAAAGCAGGACTTGCACCCTGCTGGGGAGGTCCCTGTCTCTACACACTCCCGTTTACCAAGAAGCCAACTATAAACCTAATGGAGGGGCAGTAAAGATGACTTTGCAGTTCCTTTTGCTAGATGTGGACATGGGAGAGGTGATCACAGCCCTCAGCCCACCCAGGAGATGTTCCCTGTGTCGCTGACCTTGCTGGTTGTCCCAAGTTAGCATTGCAGCGCCTCTCTCTGTGGTAAAGCAATTATCCTGCTTATCTTCTACCCTGCAGAATTATGTTTATTATAAACAGTTAGACTCGGTGGGGTTTTTTTGTATTTTTTTAATTTTTCTTTTTAAATCTGTGTTAAAGAAGGCTTTTGGAAGCATCCTGAGGAGGGTGGCAGGTGCCACAATGCACAGATCACACAAATTTTCTACTGTTTCCCTTTTGCCCCTGGCAGCGAGCCAGACCCTCTCTTGGACAGCTTGTGGAAGGAGGCAAGACTGGACAGAAAGAGGCAGATATTTCTGCAGTGAAGTCTGGTTTCTCGATTAAGAGGCCGAAGTCCAGTATTACCTGAAACCAAGCTGGTCAGACAGAGGCACCTCCTCTGCTGCCATCTCCAAAACGTGCTTCAGCCAAGCCCTTCAAAACGTCTCTCACTATTCCCCAAATATGTCCACGCATGATCCCATGTCCAGGCAAAAGCATCTTTGCAACTGGCTTCCCCCTAGACACAGGCTGTGTTTGCAGCCAAGGCTCTCGCATCCTTTTTCAGCTGTGCTTCCCTGGACAGGATGGAGGGAGGCGAGGGCCTCCCACGCCATTACCAGGGGAAGTCAGGCAACCAGTGAGGGTCACCACCCCACTGGGCTTAGCTGGAGAAACCGAGGCAGAAAGTGCCCTGCCGTGCCTGGGATGAAGGAGCGCAGAGCCAGAAGCACCCGCTGCTGCTGGGTGCCCATGCCCTCCTGCAAACATCCAGCCAGAGCGAGCGCAGCGGCCCCACGCATCCTGCAGCAGCGAGCGTTTCCCTTGCACGTGCATGCGGGGTCACGCACTGCTGCCTCACCAGCAATTGCTGCCTGGGCTCCCCACAGCGAGCTGGCCAGGTCCCCAGCAGACCTCACGTGGCATTTGCTGCCCCTGTTTTGAATGCCCCTGTTATAGCGTATTATTATTTACTGGCCAGTGACAAAGACAGACATGCACCTGGGGACTGAGAATTAGGGTAAGCCCAGAAATATTCCCCACTCAAAAAAATGCCTGCTGTTATTACAGAGAAAAAAGCACTATTAAAAGAATGAGAGACTGTTAAAAGGTTGGCACTGGTTCAAAACAAACATGTTTGAAGGCCCCAGAAGATCCCTTGGAAAGTCACCTTTGAACCTGGGGGGCAAAGAGAAGATGAATAGGAGAGGTGAAAAATGAGAATTCCAGATGTTATCTTGAAGTCTTTTTTCAGGGACAGCTGTAGGATCTAGAACAGGGGCACTGCCGTGTTTAAGAGGGTGCACTGTGCATTTTTAATGTTCACCTTCTTCCAGCTCTTGGCCTGAATGTCTCGTGTAGTACTGAGGAAATGTCCCACAGGGTCTAAAGCAGTACGTAGCTCCAGCACTGCAATGCCTTCACAGCCAAACCCTTCACAGCCCCTCCGAATGGGAGCCCTCAATCCTGGGCTCATCTAGAAAGGCACATTTTTTTTAGTCAGAAAGAATTACCCTTTTTTTCCAGATGAATATGAAGGAAAATTCTGAGCCTAAGTGAGCGCTAACCACAGTGTCCAACACATGGCAGGGGCGTGTCAGCGAGCTGCTCCAAGGTGGTACTTTCCAGAAGGCATATCCTGGCCATTGGTCCACCGCAACCTAAATTTTCATTAAAAAATAATACAACAAAAACCCCAGAAAGATGCAACATGGTTGAGTCTTTAACTCTTTGCATGGCTCAGCACCAGAAGGCCATCCTTGCCAAGGGGGAGCAGTCATGCCCACCTCCCTGCGCAATGGGGTGAGTGAGGGCAACGCTGCTCTGCACCATCTCGGAGCTGGAGGTGCTCCCGGACGGAGAGCGCTCTCCTCAACCACCTCGTGAGCATCCTGTGGGACTCACACAAGGCGATCTCTTTGGGATCAGTGCATGCATTCGAGCCTGAAAAGTGCCGCCCTCGCCACCCCACGTTTGCAGGCTCCTGCTGGTCGTTCCTGTTGCTGGCTTATCGTCTGCTGTCTGTCAGCGAGGAGCCCTTGTCATTTTTCTGTGACACATCTCAGATGTCACTTAACTCCAATGCCTGTCTTGGTTTCGGTTTTTAGGAAGCTGAAAGAGCTCAGGAACCAGGAAACAATGGCGAGATCCAAAGATCTCAGTGCCGCAGGCATTTTGTGCTGATGCAGAGGCAACCTCCCATTTTCCTGTCCCTTTGGGGAACCCTGCAACTTTCCTCTCCGCTCCTCTGCCTTTTGGGCTGCAGCAGAAGCCCTTCCTCACAGATAGACAGCCCAAAGTGGTAGGGGTTTTCCCTCTCGCAGGCCCAAACCTTAGGAGAGAAAAACCCTGCTTGGCTTTTAAGTGCTTGCCAACCTGAGTAAATTCAGAGCCATTCTATACAAAACAGAATGAAGCAGAGAAGCTGTAAAGGTCAGCAGGCACTGCTGGCAGTGCTGAGAGACTGGCAGCTTCATTTCCCACTTCCTTTTCTGTTACTATTTTCTCTACCAGAGGCTTCTCAAACTCCATGTTTGCAGCGGGGTGCAGAAGAACAGTAGATCTCTGAATGGGCACTGCATACTGAACCACCACAGCCGCCGGGGCGGACGCTCCTGCGCAGCCCTGTGCTCTCAGCTACCTGAAATCCCCCAGGGCCCTGCTCCAGCCCCCCACTCTCACTTGCCCCCAAATTCCCCAGGGACTCTGCTCTGACCCAGCGCTACATTCGTGATTGCCCTGAAATCCCCCAGGGCTGCAGCTCAAAAACTACCACCGCTTTCTCTCATAGGCATGGCGGGATTTTTTTTTTTTCCCTTCGTGTAAGAGCCACCGGTACCTCCTGGGGTGAACCGGGGCTCTGGAGACCTGGTGTGTGGCACATCAAGCGACCGCCAGTTGGTAAAAAGGCTTGGCCTCCACAAAACGCAGCCTGGGCCACGCTCAATCCTGGTTTTTGCTCCTGCTTTCTGCTGCTGTCCCTTCCCTGCCCAGTCACTAGATGCCCTCAGCCACCCAACCACCACCGTAATTAAAAACAAAAGATAAAGCAAGGCAACGGCATCGTCAAGCACCTCAAGATGCAATGTAAAGCAGCACCACTGGACATAGCAAAGACTAGCCCTAGTTTGGAGGAGGCTGGGGTCACCCAGGGGCTGAGCTGGGCCATGCTGGGGGCTGCGGGGAAAGCGCTGCCCCGAAACACCGAGGGATGGGGCAGACACATAGGCAAAGAGTCCCACTAATGGCTGGAGGCTCCGCTCAGGCTGCAGTGAGTGAATGCTGGAAAAGCATGGGGAAAGAGAAACCAAGGCTGAAAAAGGATGGGGAACCCCCCCCAAGGTCTCCCCCCTGGCGCAGACCCTCAGCGGGGCCCACAAGACTGGCCATGCTCCCACGCAGCAGGCGGCTGCCCCCGGCTGGGACTCAACCAGGAGGACGGGGGGCTGCTCATGAACCTAGCGAACAGTTTCAGCTGAAGCAGCTGGGGAAA